ATCGCTTCATCGACCTTATCAACCTTGCACAATGCAGCTACCTTTGCCTCAAAAATCAAATGTTTTGGTTTAAAGCCTTTGTTTTTCATTTCAACGATAACTTTATTCGCCTCGTCTATCTTACCTTCTTCGTATAAATCAACCGCCATGGCATTATAACTAGCAGTGCTAGGAACTGAACCCCTTACCAAAGCTTCGTGAATCCACCGTTTAGTAACTTCCGCATCTTTACCATCACCACACTGACTAAGATCAAGTTGGTTATAACATCGCTTTGGAGCTTTCAGTCCTTTCCTCAAAATCTTACCAAGAATTTCCACAACTTCTTCGAACTTTCCATCATCACATAAAGCATCCAAAAGAGTCCTATAGATTACAACATCCTCACCATTACCTTTCAGAGAGATTCTCCAAAACATTGAATACAACAAATGAGTAGCCTCATGTAACCTCTTATCCTTACACAATCCCTTCATTACAATAAGATAACTATCTCTATCAGGATAACAACCTTGATAATCCATCTCTTGAAATATCTGCAACGCCAAATCTGTTCGACTCTTCCGACACAAAGCATAGATAAGCAAATTCAACGCCCGAACGCGAGACTTCACTTCCCAACCACAAGAACTCTCAACAAAAAGACCATGAGCATCTTCAAGCTTACCCTCATTCACCATTATCTCTAAAAGGGTATTGAAAGATTGCGTCCAATTAACGCAGTTAAACTGGGGAATCTTCTTATATAGAGAGATTGCTTCATCTACTAGCCCTTGTTTTGCATATGTCTTAATTGCAGACACAAAGACGGAATCTTTGCACTCACATGAATCTTGTTTCATTTGCTCAATCAAATCACTCATCTCTTTGAGTCTACTTGATGATCCAATGATAGTGATCATGGTGGCATAAACAGGACCATTGTGGGAATATTTAGGGTATTTTGATTTGGCATATTTGATGTTAGATGCGGCTGAGAAATTTCAAACCACTTTTGATAAACTAGAAGATGGGGATGAAGACTATAGGGATTTCTTTGACGGTGATTCCCCCTAGTAGTCAAGATTGGGATAATGTTAGAGTTTTTATTAAGTTTTTGAAAAAGTATTATGAAGCGACAAAGGTTTTTTCTGTTTCAACAAAAGCAAGTTTGCATACTGTTTTTCCATTCTTGGCTGAAATCTACATTGAACTTAAGAAATTAAACATGGACCTTAATGGATTGTTTGCAAATGTGGCACGGGAAATGTTGGAAAAGTTTTGTAAGTACTGGGTTGATATCACTAAGATGAACCAGCTCCTTTATTTTGGTATTATTTTTGATCCCCGGTATAAGTTAAGATATGTGGAATGGTGCTTTGATGATATGTATAGAAAAGATTCAGACACTAAGAAATCTGTATTAAAAGATATCAATGACAATCTTTCAAAGATTTTTGATCTTTACAAACAAGCCCATGACATTGCTGGAGGCTCAGTCACATCTGTTGCAGCTGCTGTTTCTCATGGTGAAAAGGCTGCCAGTGACGAATTGCCCACATATATAGCTAGAGAAAATGCTTTTCAGGAACGTTTGATTTCTATTGATTCAGTGGAAGAAGAAATTGCGCTTCAGAGTTATATTGCTGGAAAAAATTTAACTTTCAATGAAAAAGATAAAGAAAAGTTCGACATTCTTTGTTGGTGGAAACATAATGCTGATCAATACCCGGTTCTGTCCCAAATAGTTAGAGATATCATGCCTACACCAGTTTCACCTGTGGCTTCTGAGAGTGCATTTAGCACGGGTGGAAGGGTTTTAGAGGTATACAGAAGCTCTCTCAAATCAGAAATGGCCGAAGCTTTAATTTGTACTCAGAACTGGTTGAGACCTACCTTTTACCAATTCAAAGGCATGGAATTTAACGAGGATTATGAGATATCTGAAGATGCTTTACTAGGTATTGCGTCTATTTTTCTTTAAGTGAAATTTTTTATTCTGTTTGTAAAATGTTAAAGTTAAGGTTTTTTAAATATATTTTAGGATTTACTGAAACTTCAGTTGGAAGTGGAGCACTATCTTCTTCTCATACTCAGTCACAGACTTCGGTCTGTACCTGAAAAACATATTCAGGTTCAATTCCCTTGTATTTTTGTTAAATAAAACATGTATTCTTATGTTTTTTCTTATATTTGCAGCAGACACTTTTTGAATTTTTTTGGAGTCATGAGTGACTCGTATTTTGAATCCATGTATAACCAACCAAACACTTTTTGAAAGAATATCTAGATACTTTCGATGAATCCATGTATAACCAACCAAACACTTTTTGATGAATCCATGTAATACCGGGAGCTGTCCCTTTGGTGATGACTTTCACTTTGCTCACAGAGATGCAGGTAATAGGACTGGTTTTGGTTTCTTTTATGATTCTATTGGTTTGTTCTGCTCAAGATCTATTTTTACATTTTTGGTACAAAATTACAGTTGTCCCGGTTTTCCATTTTTGATTCATGTCATGTCATGCAGCTGGCAAGTTAGAGAACAATAAAATAAGTTGGGCGGTTGAAGGTTCTGGAGCTCAGAGGTTACGACTTGCAAACTTCCGCCACAAAAGGCTTGCTCGAGCTTAGGCATACTTTCAACAGTAGGAAATAATCTGCTTCTGATGCCTTATTCTGCTTCTGATGCCTTTCGACAGTAGGAAATAATCTGCTTCTGATGCCTTATACTTTCGACAGTTGGGCGGTGAATTTCGTTTTAGTACTGCTTCTGATGCCTTATTTTGATGTTGTCATCTCACATTGCGTGTGTAGTTGCTTCTGTTTAAATTTGTGTTTTATTCGTAGTAAAGATGTAATGCTCCACCTTTTGTTAACCGGGCATTTGAAAATGTTTTTTTTCTCTTTCAATTATTCAGAAATCACTTGCATTGTCAACCTTTGAAGGATACAGTGGTTATGGAGATGGACAAGGAGAAAATGTATGTCGTATCAATATCTTATAGTAATTGTTGTTTTTTTATAGTCTAAGCATGTATTTTTTAAGCTTTTTGCTGCCATCTTTTTACATAAGTTAATGATGCTTGGATGATTAAGAGGCATTCCTAATCTATGCAGCCACTAAGAAGTGCAATTGTTTCTTCATCTGATGGCAGATTGTCTTTGGTTCAAATGTGAAAATGGTTGTGCAGGATCCATCATACCCGGTAATTCATATCTATGGCCTTGTTTATCTTTTCATCATTTGCTTCAACATTCAATTATGTTTCTATATGCCGATAAATGTGGCCTAGGTTTTGTTCCAATAGTCACATTTAGTTAGCTCAGTGTCACATTTTTTCCTCGAGTCTAGCAAGCTCAGCTTCATCTTTATTGTACAAAGCACAACAAGAACTCCGCAACATAATGGGCATTTTTCCAATGATAATATCTCTCCGCGGAAAGAAAAAATATTGTTGCAGTTAATAAAATATATCTTAGTCAAATTCAGAAGATATATTTAGTCCTTACAAATATACCATTTTCGGGTTTTAGCCCCTGCAAAAATATTTCTAGTTTAAGTCCTTGCAAATTATAATATTTTGTTTTTAGTCCTGCATACATTATTTTGAGCCTTGCAAAATCTTATCATATTGAAATATGTCCTTGTAGTATTCATTTTAGTCCTTCTTTTGAATGACTAAAATAAATAATTTGATAGAGTATAGGGACCAATTTCAATATCAATAAATTTTGTAGGGGCTAAAACAAAACAACAAGGAACAAAAGAAAGAAAAAAATGGTATATTTGCAATGACTAAAAACAAACAAAATTTAACGAGACTAAAACAAAAAACTCTTGATATTTTCAAGGAACTATTTACATATTTAAGTCTACTAAAAATAGTGGTCAATCACCTTTGTCTCTTTTCTTAGGTTATCCGGACTTCCTTGAGTATGTTCAATGTCAACCATTATTGGAGCCGCGTACCTTTTTATTAGACAACATGAAGCTCAATTCACAACAGGTTAAGCACAATAAAAACAAATAACATTTGGTCTGACTACTACCAAATAGTAGAGTATAAATAAACTAGAAGAAATTGAAACATGATAAAACTTTACTGGCAACTTAAGAAAATACTTTTGAGCATTATTAGAATTCTATCAATAGCTCGGCAATATCCAGTTAAAAACATTAGATCATAATTTTATTGGAAATGATTCCTACGTTCGGTCGGATAGCCTGCATGTTTGTGGGCTAATATCCTCAACACTACCATCAACTGTTATTGACGGTTTTCCAATTTTGACATCCGTAAACCTGCATGATGAGCCAAGTTGTTCATTAGCACATCAGTAAAAACAACTTAAAAGGTTCGAGCCATTGCCAACCTCTCAAGAATAAAGAACAATTGAAAAAAGTCAGCTTCAATTCAAATTAACTAACATTCATAAGCTAAACATTTGACTCCATTTCTCCATTCCTATATCCAGTGTACAACACTATATACTCCCATGAATTATATCCTTGGAAATCAATTAATACTAATAAGTTTTGAAAACTTGTATCAAATATGTGAATTTAAATTTCTCATTCCAAAAATAACTTCCAAGACATTCAAACAAACACAATACAGTCATAGCACAAAATGACATACCTTAGATAAAGGTGCGGATACTTAGTAACTTGAATACGATCATTAGCACGAACAATTTTCTTGACATCAGTGCTAATAAATGTTGCTTCACCAGCCCAATTGTCCCAATCTCGCGTCTTCTCCTTCCACAGTTCAGTTCCGTCGTTGTCTCCATTAACAACAACCGCAGCCACTAACCACCGACATACCCATCAATCAATTCTTCCCGCCACTCACCGCCGTTCCATTGTCAATAACGTTCCAGCGCCAGTTTGTTTTTACTCTTGTTTTTCAAAGTTTTTCTGAAATTGAGATCTTTGAGATTCTTTCTGTTGATTTTCTATTTCTTCTACTCCAAATTTAAACCCTAAAAGCTAATCGCTTTGCAAAAGGATAACTATGATTATAAGGTGGCCAAGAGTGTTAAATCCAACTCATCTTTCTCAGATTATAAGAACTCAAAAGAACCCTTTAAAGGCTTTGGAAATTTTCAACATAGCCAAATCAAAATACCCTAAATATTCCCATAATGGTCCTGTTTATGCCACCATGATCACTATCCTTAGATCATCAAGTAGACTTAAAGAGATGAGTGATTTGATTGAGAAAATGAAACAAGATTCATGTGTGTGCAAAGATTCTGTCTTTGTGTCCGCAATTAAGACATATGCAAAACAAGGGCTAGTAGATGAAGCAATCTCTCTATATAAAAAGATTCCTCAGTTTAACTGTGTGAATTGAATGCAATCTTTCAATACCCTTTTGGAGATAATGGTGAATGAGGGTAAGCTTGAAGATGCTCATGGTCTTTTTGTTGAGAGTTCTTGTGGTTGGGAAGTGAAGTCTCGCGTTCGGGCGTTGAATTTGCTTATGTATGCTTTGTGTCGGAAGAGTCGATCGGATTTGGCGTTGCAGATATTTCAAGAGATGGATTATCAAGGTTGTTATCTTGATAGAGATAGTTATCTTGTTGTAATGAAGGGATTGTGTAAGGATAAGAGGTTACATGAGGCTACTCATTTGTTGTATTCAATGTTTTGGAGAATCTCTCTGAAAGGTAATGGCGAGGATGTTGTAATCTATAGGACTCTTTTGGATGCTTTATGTGATGATGGAAAGTTCGAAGAAGCTGTGGAAATTCTTGGTAAGATTTTGAGGAAAGGACTGAAAGCTCCAAAGCGATGCTATAACCAACTTGATCTTAGTCAGTGTGGTGATGGTAAAGATGCGGAAGTTACTAAACGGTGGATTCACGAAGCTTTGGTAAGGGGTTCAGTTCCTAGCACTGCTAGTTATAATGCCATGGCGGTTGATCTATACAAAGAAGGTAAGATAGACGAGGCGGATAAAGTTATCGTTGAAATGAAAAACAAAGGCTTTAAACCAAAACATTTGATTTTTGAGGCAAAGGTAGCTGCATTGTGCAAGGTTGATAAGGTCGACGAAGCGATCAAGCTGATTGAAGAGGACATGGTGGAAGTCAATTGTCTACCAAATGCTAGGGTTTATAATATTCTCTTGAAAAACCTTAGTAATGTTGGAAGTTCGACATTAGTGCTCGACAGCTTGAACAAGATGTCGAAAAAGGTAGGTTGCATGGGCGACAAAGAAACGTATAGCATTTTACTAGAGATGCTTTGTCATGAGAGAAAGTATCTTGAAGAAAGCAAACTTTTGGAGCAAATGTCAATTAAATCATATTGGCCTTGTTCCAATAGTTACAATTTGCTCATTGAGGGTCTTTGTTCCTTAGGTCGACAATACGAAGTTGTTATGTGGTTGGAGGACATGATTAGCCAGGGGAAACTTCCTGAAATTTCTGTTTGGAGTTCATCAGCATCTTCATTTTGTAATTCCGATTTGTTGAAAGTGTCAGTCGAGATGTTTAATCGCCTAAGAAGTTTGTGATTCTGAGTTCTGGTGTAAAATATAACGATTATATAATGAACAGAATCGTGCACTACCATTTTTTTCAAGTATACTTATGCTTCTTCATTAGCTTTGAAGCATTGCTTTATAATTTAGCCTTTTCCGAGCATCAGGTCTGCAGGTTATGTTCTGAATGACCGAGTAACCAAACTATTTTGTACCAAACACAACTCTCGAGTATCAAGCCTGAAAGGGTGAAGATGTTCCACCGTGGCAACAACGGGCTCATCATAGCAATACCGTTCAACAAGATCTGGAAGATGGGTGAATTAACCAAGACTCCTTCCTCGACTGATGGCTAATTAATCATCAAGAAACCAAAATTGTAAAACTCTAACCTCCATGTTTCTGGAGCAGGCTCCGACCACCATGATGCCTGATTGCCTCTGCCATGTGACCACTGTTACTGCTGTCTGGAGCGCCAGCTGCTGCACCAAAAAATGGTAGTACCTTGCATATGCCTTCCTCGTCCTCGCCCTTGTCCTTGGTTTTCTGAGTTGATTTCCACCCATCTCTTATCAAGTTTCAAAACTCCATGTTAAAGGGTCTTAAAGGTGTCATGTCACTTAACCAAAAAGTTTATGAGAGGAAACTGTTGGATGGTTCTTCTCATCATTTGGGGGTACTTATTTAGTACTGTTGTGTGCTTTAGTTAAATGTGAGAGTATGAGTTCATAATATCGTGTGCTTTTTATCTATCTGGTTTAGTCCTTTTTGCTTAACTTATCTGATTTTTTTTATGCTTGCATTATGTGGGTCTTAAAGACCTATGCGCGATCTCGGTGAGTACCCGACTGCCATGATCTGGGTGAGAACCCATCCACCAAGCATATAAAGACCAATGATTTTGGTAAGAGCCCGACCGACCGTTACGCACATAACACAATGGGAAAAGCACGACTCAGTCTCCACTCTACGTCAACAACAAAGGGCAGGACCGAGATTGTCTGAAAAGGTTAAAACATCAAGTATGGTTTTAAATTTTAAGTGTAAAGTTCAAATTAGCTTTTACTATGCATGATACTTGGATTGATTAACCAAAGTTCAACTACCAAATAGGGGTATCAGGACTATTATATCAAAATGTGCTGACCAAAAAGAAAATGCAGGAGGTCTCGGGATATAGTGGAAAAAATCATTATTTGCACTTGATTTTTAGGGTTGTTCTTCTTATGGTGTTTCACACTTCTGAAAATTCAAAAATGCATTTGCTGTGTTCGGAGATCCGAATGCATCGAAGAACATACTAACAAAGGTGTTGCAAGTGAGACACCCTATATTTTGTCTAAAAAATTGTCCGGAGATGCATTTCTGGATTTCGGAGATGCACATCCGTAAAGTGGACTGGAAAGGATAGTTCTGTTTGATTCTGCAAGGTTGTCTACAAGGTTGTCTACAACATGATCAATATCAATGACATAGTGGCCTAATTGGAAGTGATATGAGAGGTTTCGTTTGATTCTGCAAAGGCTTTGACTGAAAAGAACTTGTGTTGTGTTGGTTCATAGATGATCAATATGTATGAACTTGTGTTGTGTTGGTTCTGACCAGCATGGATATTGTACCTTTGAGTGGTTTTAATTCAATATTGATGTAAAATAGAGAAAATATATTAAGAAATAAATAATGTTATTGAAGAAAAAGTCTTACACGCACAAGTGTTTTGATGAGTGTTATCTTCAATCACTTTAAGGAGAGATACATCTCCAGAACATGGAGATGGAGATGCTAGAGACATTTGAGATTTTTTACAGTGGTGTAAGAGAACATATAAAGTGGAAAGAACAACCCCAATTTTTTATGTGTGCTCCAAGTAAAGTATATTGAGTCCAACAGCTTGCGAAGAAAAACTTCGACAAGGCTTGATTAAGAGTGTATGTTATGATGAAACTCAACCATTGGACGACAAAAAGATAAAACAAAACACATAAAAGCTACTAAAAATATTGGCAAAAAGAAAATTGAATTTCTTTTTGTTATAGTAAACATAAATTTCTAGTGTGTTAAAAATCACACATCGATAGTTTGTTCTACACCACATAAAAGAAATCACCGTGTTCAACATGATCAAATTCTTTAATATGACTTAAAATTATCTTTATACATATATATTTTATAATCTTAAACATATAGTTAACATATTTTACACCTTTAAATTATATCATTCGAACTTGTGTTATACGGTAAAATGTGTGTTTTGCTGATATTTAATAATGTATTTTACCAAAACAACACTAATTAATCATAACATGATAATATAAAATGATATTATGATAAAAAATATCCAACAAAATACATTATATTAAATTATTCAAAAATACAACATCATCCAGTACAAATATCACCACTCTACTGCGTGGCACACATCCTTATCCTTAATCTCGGTCCTGCCCTTTGTTGTTGACGTAGAGTGGAGACTGAGTCATGTTTTTCCCATTGTGTTATGTGCGTAACGGTCAGTCGGGCTCTTACCAAAATCACTGGTCTTTATGTGCTTGGTGGATGGGTTCTCACCCAAATCATGGCAGTCGGGTACTCACCGAGATTGCGCATAGGTCTTTAAGACCCACATAATGCAAGCATAAAAAAATCAGATAAGTTAAAAGCAAAAAGGACTAAACCAGATAGATAAATAGCACACGGTATTATGAACTCATACTCTCACATTTAACTAAAGCATACAACAGTATTAAATAAGCACCCCAAATGATGAGAAGAACCATCCAACAGTTTCCCCTCGTAAACTTTTTGGTTAAGTGACATGACACCTTTAAGCCCCTTTAACATGCAGTTTTGAAACTTGATAAGAGAGGGGTGGAAATCAACTCACAAAACCGAGGAGAAGAGCGGGGACGAGGAAGGCATATGCAAGGTACTACCGTTTTTCGGTGCAGGCACTCCAGACAGCAGTAACAGTGGTCACATGGTAGAGGCAATCAGGTATCATGGTGGTCGAAGCCTGCTCCAGAAACATAGAGGTTAGAGTTTTACAATTCTGGTTTGATGATTAATTAGCCATCAGTTGAGGAAGGAATCTTGGTTAATTCACCCATCTTTCAGATCTTGTTGACAGGTATTGCTATGATGAGCCCGTTGTTGCCACGGTGGAACATCTTCACCCTTTCAGGCTTGATACTCGAGAGCTGTGTTTGGTACAAAATAGTTTGGTTACTCGGTCATTAAGAACATAACCTGCAGACCTGATGCTCGGAAAAGGCTGAATTATAAAGAAATGCTTCAAAGCTAATGAAGAAGCATAAGTATACTCGGAAAAAATGGTAGTGCACGATTCTGTTCATTATATAATCGTTATATTTTACACGAGAACTCAGAATCACAAATTTCTTAGGCGATTAAACATCTCGACTGACACTTTCAACAAATCGGAATTACAAAATGAAGATGCTAATGAACTCCAAACAGAAATTTCAGGAAGTTTCCGCTGGCTAATCATGTCCTCCAACCACATCACAACTTCGTATTGCCGACCTAAGGAACAAAGACCCTCAATGAGCAAATTGTAACTATTGGCACAAGGCCAATATGATTTAATTGACATTTGCTCCAAAAGTTTGCTTGCTTCAAGATACATTCTCTCATGAAAAAGCATCTCTAGTAAAATGCTATACGTTTCTTTGTCGCCCATGCAACCAACCTTTTTCGACATCTTGTTCAAGCTTTCGAGCACTAATGTCGAACTTCCAACATTACTAAGGTTTTTCAAGAGAATATTATAAACCCTAGCATTTGGTAGACAATTGACTTCCACCATGTCCTCTTCAATTACCTCGATCGCTTCATCGACGTTATCA